CCCCCCCCTACACGTGAAGTTTTCACGTGATTCATGATTCTCGAGGCTGCGAGCCCTTCACTTGCTAAAGCAAGAGCAACTCCAGCTAGCTGATGCTAGCTTTCGTGACAAGACCAACAAATTGCAGGAAAGAACTCAAACCTGAGCAAAAAATGGCCTGAAGGAAACTGTTCCGAAATCAAAGGAAAACAATCTGCAAACACATCCATTCGCATGTTGAAAATCATCCAAGGCCTTCCACAAAGATCTCCTTGTCATCCTGCTTGTCTTCCGCCAACTGCGTGAGGAGCGAATTAGGATGCAGGCTCAGCGTAGGCTCCCACAGCACCTGGTAGATCTTGCCACTGACGTTGAACGTCACAAGATCTGGCTTGCTTGCCATGGGTCCGACAGGCTGTTGCTTACAAGTTGGCAATCAAGGACTTATGCTCAGGTTGCCACTGTAGCCAAGCTAGCTGCGGATCTCGAACATCAAGCCAAACCAATCCAGCACGTCAAATGCTCGTCAGGGTCTTGACAAACAAACAAAGACTCACACATTGCATAATATTATCATATATACATAATGTACACCAAGAAATTCTGCACAATCCACTGCTGTTTGGGACCAGCTTTTGTGAGCGTCTTGGTCACATGTCACGACCCACCATCCACCTTTGTCCTGTAGGAGAGGGTGTTCACGGGTGTTCAATCACCACTTCCACTAGCCTCGGGCTGCTGGCCAGCATGTGGTTGGGGCTATAGCTGTTGGTTCTCAGGATGCCTTTAAGAGTTCAATTGCACGCCTCTAAGTGACTTGCATGCATAAGCTGCGGAAGAGATGGTTGGATGCTTCGAGACTTTTTAAGGTATGCTATTCACAAAACATGGGGAATTGCACATCTTTGTACAATGCACATGATTGCACAGAAGCAGTACCCCGCTGCACGCCTCCAAAGAAGAGAAGCATCTGACATGATGAAAATGTACGTCTTGAAAAGGTGGTGGGAGAGCTCCATCAAAGTTTTTCCAGTGTTCGGCCGTTTCGACTGGCGAGTCGGGAGGTGGAATTTGTCGAGGCCCTTCGTGGTTTCAAGCTAGCTCAAGCTTGAGACGAGCGGGGGGGGGTGGACGAAAGGTCATGAGTTGGACGAAAGGTCCTGAGATAAAGCTAATCCAACTCAAGGCTACTGAAGCAACCCTTTGTGACATCTTAGTCAGTCACCGTTCTCCTCTACCACAAGGGTCATTCCTCCACCTGGTGCCCACTTCTTTTTGACCAAGAGCTGGTCGCACAATACCAAGAACCAACAGGTGTTCGATGTTTTTGTGTTTTCCGAAAGACGGACACAAACATTTATGGGCACCTCGTAGCTCTAAGCAGACAGACCCAAACGTGGCCATGACTTGAAGGTAGCAAATCATACACTAGTAACCACAGCACCACCGGTTCATATCGTCGGGCGCCGACACACTTGGTCCTAAGCCTTGAGATGAGTCCGTCCCGCTTTTCTGCGCGGAACATGATGCGGTCCATACGATCGCCTGCATGAGGCACTTAGGCCACCGGTGTCAGGCTAACCATCGGAGAGTCTTTATTACGGAGCGGGTTCGTGCCATGGGGCCAAAACGTCGCCTGGTATCCAATGGATGCCGCCCACGCTGCCATGGACTCTTTGAAATGCATCTGCTCGAAGCCTTTGAAACAGGAGAACGCAAAGCTTCGTTGCTCTGAACTTGTTGAGCCGAATTTGTTCTGGACCACCTCGTCGAATGAAATACTGATCTGCTCGCCATTTCCCTTTGCTGATTTCTCCATCAAAGCCTGTGCTGTTATGCTCATCAAATGTGCAGCTGCATTTTGGTTCTGTTGCTTCTGCAGTAAGTTCTTTTGATTCGCGACCAGTTGATCAATCTGCTTCAGCATGCTTGGATAGTAGGCCCCATCACGCACCATCCTTTGCTGCAACTCTGCAGTGGACTCGAGCACTGAACTCAAAAGAAAAGGGCGAAAAACTCCAAACCATAACTCTTATCTCTGTGAGACTGAGATGATTCGTTTGCAAATGCACTTACAGTAGCAGTAGGGGAACCAGCTACTCAAACCCTACTAGCATGGGCAAATCCACAGCCCTAGTCGCAGCCAAAGCCCATATCTCCATCAGAATAGCTTGAAACAGCCAGGCGGGTATGATCCACCCTCACAATCCGCACCAACAGATTCTATCATATATATATAGAGGCCATTGTACAGTGCCCGAGCAACCACCACAACACCATAGACAAATGCTCTGACAAAAAACAGTCTGAGGCACTCTTCGGTCTTTGCATCCAACCCAAAGCGCTTCAGCTCTTGCTGCACTGCTGCCGCCGAGATATTTGGAGGCAGAATGATCTTCCGATCTCTGTGATATGCGAGCACGTAATTGAAAAGGTCTTGATCACCTCTGTCACAGGCTTGCTTCCTTTTGATGAACCAGGACGTTGACGTGGAACAATTGGCCTATGGGTTTATATATTGTAGGTTATTTCACTTCAACTTGTGTCTATCACAAAGTCACGAAGATTCCGAAAGAAAACTCACTTCAAGAGGTCTCTTTGTGTCAACAGCATTGTCGCTTAATTTTGCATGTAAACTTCGCTCCTGAATCTCTCTCAAAGCTCCTATCCCAAGCTGCCAAGGTATCTCACCCCACTAGTCACTAGTCTGGAAAGCTGGTGGTGGGAATCGCTCTCCAAACCAAGCGCAAACTATTCAAAACATACGCATGATTATGCAGTGCACCCCCCTTGCTCACATCAGGGCCTTCCACAAAGATCTCCTTGTCATCCTGCTTGTCTTCCGCCAACTGCGTGAGGAGCGAGTTGGGATGCAAGCTCAGGGTAGGCTCCCGCAGCACCTGGTAGATCTTGCCGCCGACGTTGAAGGTCACGAGATCCGATCCACTCGCCATGGGCCCCACAACTTGTGGTTTATAAGTTGGCAATCAGAAACTTCTGCTCAGGTTGCCACTCTAGCCACACTAGCCGCGGAGATTGATCAAATCTCAATTGAGACTGTATATAGCTGCCGGTTGGCTGGTCTTCAGGATGTTTCCAGATTTGGGGGGGCGCAAGCTATTGACAAAATATGGGAGGTTGCGGATTTAGGATGGTACAGAAACCTACTGGACGCGTGTCAAGAAGCATGAATTCCTCACCCAAAAAGTGAATGACGAGTTCATATCCAAGTAACCTCTTTATGGATGTGTATCTTCAAACAGTTTGTGGGAAAATAATTGCCAATGAAACCGTGTTCCATCTGTCCAGTTTCGACTGGCTCGTCAGCCCTGGTAGCGTCCAATCGCCTAAGGAAGATCCATCACCGTCACCGGCTACCAGCCGACCAGGCACCCTTTTGCTCTGTGACAGGCGGTGAAGTGGCCAGAGTGATGAACTGCACGATGACCTAGGCCACCGGTGTCAGGGTAGCCAACCGAGCACCGGCATCGCCCAGCAGGTTCTTGCCATGTTGCCAAAACGTCACCTGATATCCAATGGATGTCGCCCAAGCTGTCATCAACTCTTGGAAATGCATCTGGTCGAAGGATCGGAAAAGACGTTGCGCAGTGGAGAGTTGATCTAGATTCTTGGCGTTGTATCCGTTTCGGAGGAGCTCATCGAATGAAATACTGATTGGTCCGCCATTCCCCTGTACTATCTTCTCCATCAAAGCCTGTGCGGTGATGTTCATCAAAAATGTGCAGCTGCCACTTGCTTCTGTTGATCCTGAAGCAACTTCTTTTGATTTGCAACCACTTTGTCAATCTGCTTCAGCATGCTTGGAAAATAGGCCTCATCCGGCACTATCCTTTGCTGCAACTCTGCAGTGGACCGAAGCATTGGACTTAAAACAAACCGCCCATCCTATCTCACGAATTGTGATAAATATGATAAATACTCAAGTCGCCCCACAACATCCGATTCCGAGTTTGATACTTTACCCATGCAGCCCCATTGTTTGTATAATTTTGTATACATGCAAATGGGAGGAACCAGCTACTCAAACCTACTAGTATGAGCTAATCCCTGGTCGGAGCTGCGAGTCTAAAGCCCTTACTCCCGCAGTGCACACCAGAGCAACTTGAAACAGCCAGGCGGATATGATACACCCTCAAAGACCGCATCAAGAGGTGCCTAAATTCACCACAACACCATAGATTAATGCTGCGACAAAACAGCAGCCAAAGGCACTCTTCAGCTTTCACATCCAACCCAAAGCGCTTCAACTCTTGTTGCACTGCTGCCATCGAGACGGCCGGGGGCAAAATGATCTTTCGATCTCTGTGATACGCGAGCACGTACTTAAACAGGTCTTGATCACCTTTGTCAGAGGCTTGCTTCTTTTATGATGCAGGATGTTGATGACAAAGGAGGCTCTTTGGGAAAACACATGCAATCCCAATTAATTCTATCAAAGAGTCCAACCCGATGTATAAATTTGGATTCGTTACCCGAAGGAAAAGCCGTGCTGTCCCGCTACATGCCCCTTTCATGATCAATTTTGTGGGCAAGGATGGGCAAGGCATGCATGGCGCGCTGGCAAAGTTCATGTCCCAAGCTCACAAGCTGACCTGGAGTCACTCCAGAATTTGTTTACCACGTTTTCCCGTGTTCAACTGTTGATGTTGGGAACCACTGCCTAAAGTAAACGCACATTGACACATTGAACATAGCTGTTTATTAGAACTACGTACTTCCTCCGCCAAGCAGGGCCTTCCACAAAGATCTCCTTGTCATCCTGCTTGTCTTCCGCCAACTGCGTGAGGAGCGAGTTGGGATGCAAGCTCAGGGTCGGCTCCCGCAGCACCTGGTAGATCTTGCCGCCGACGTTGAAGGTCACGAGATCCGATCCACTCGCCATGGCCCCACAACTTGTGGTTTATAAGTTGGCAATCAGAAACTTGTGCTCAGGTTGCCACTCTAGCCACATTAGCTGCGGATATCAAATCTCAAGCAAAACAGCTAGTCTTAGTCGGTTGGTGTAGGCGCGGAAACTATATAGCTGCAAGTTGGGACGCGGTCGCAGGGGCTGTAGGCGCCTGCTCTCAGGATGCTTTCAAGAGACGGGTTGGATGCTTCCAGATTTGGGGGGCATAAGCTATTGACACATAGGGGGGGGGTTGCGGCCACCGGCTAGACACGTCCAAAGAAGCATGAATCCCAAAGAGTGAACTTAAGTGACCTCTTTGTGACCTCTTTGTGGGATGTGTATCTTCAAACAGGTGGTTTCGACCATGTTGTCCATCAAACCGTGTTTTGGACATTTCGTCCAAAACAAGTGGGACGGGAAGCCGTCGAATCCTTCGTCGTCGCTCAAAGGGGGGACAACTCCTGGCGGGTGTGGAGAACTCTACCACCAGGTTCTGGTAAGGTAGACGAGAGGTTTTTCAAGCCGCATGAAGGGTGATTCATCAAGAGCCTACATATGTCGTCCATTCACCTAAGGAAGATCCGTCACCAGCGTGTCCGGCGTCACCCGGCCGATCAGGCACCCTTTTCCTCTGTGAGGGGCGGCGAAGTGGCCAGTGTGATTAACTGCACTTAGGCCACCGGCGTCAGGCTAACCATCGTCTGTGAAGAAAGCGGCAGCGGCCCAGTCAGACCGGGAGTGCTCGCATCGCTCATTGGGTCCTTGCCATGTGACCAAAACGTTGCCTGGTATCCAATGGATGTCGCCCAAGCTGTCATGGACTCTTGGAACTGCTTGTGGTCGAAGCATTGGAAAAGACGTTGCATAGTGGTGACGTGGCATCCATTCCGGAGATCATCGAATGAAATGTTGATTGATCCGCCTTTCCCCTTTACTACCTTCTCCATCAAAGCTTGTGCAGTGATGTTCATTAAATGTGCAGCTGCAACTTGCTTCTTTTGATCCTGAAGCAACTTTTGTTGATTTGCAGCCAATTGATCAATCTGCTTTAGCATAAATGGCAAATAGGCCTCATCCAGCACCATCCTTAGCTGCAACTTGGCAGTGGAAGGCAAACTCCTCAAAACAAAACGCCCATCCTATCGTGCAAATTCTGATACTGAAGTCTCCCCTACAAAATCCGATTGCGATTTCGATACCCACGCATGCAGCGCCCCAGTTTTGTACGTAGGGGAACCAGCTACTCAAACTACTAGATCCGACTAGCATGAGCTAATCCCTGGTCGTGGTTGCGAGTCTGAAGCCCTTACTCCCGCAGTGCACACCAGAACAACTTGAAACAGCCGGGTCCGTATGATCCAAGAACATTTATGTGCCCTAGGCCATAGCAATCACCACAACACCATAGATAAATGCTGTAAAACAAGAGCCTGAGGCACTCTTCAGATTTTGCATCCAAATTAAAGCGCTTCAACTCCTGTTGCACTGCCGCCATGGAGATGGTCGGGGGCAGAATGATCTTCCGATCTCTGTGATAGGCGAGCACGTACTTGAACAGGTCTTGATCACCTCTGTCAGAGGCTTGCTTCTTTTGTGAAGCAGGATACTGATGACAAAGGAGGTTCTTTGGGGAAACGCAATCGAATCCAACGACGCTTTCTTTAGATGTTAATTTGATGAAATTTGGACTCGTTGTCCCAAGAACAAGCCGTGCTGTCCCGCTACGTGCCCGTCCGTGATCAAGTTTGTGGGCAAGGCATGCATGTGTGGTGAACTTCCCTTCTGGCGCACTCTCAAGCTCATGTCCCAAGCTATTTCACCACGTTTTCCCTTGTTCAACCGTTGATGGGCCCTCCCTGTCCAAAGTAAACGCAGATTGAACATCGCATTGATTAGAACTACGGAACTACGTATACTTCCTCCACCAAGCGGGGCCTTCCACAAAGATCTCCTTGTCATCCTGCTTGTCTTCCGCCAACTGCGTGAGGAGCGAGTTGGGATGCAAGCTCAGCGTTGGCTCCCTCAGCACCTGGTAGATCTTGCCACCGACGTTGAAGGTCACGAGATCCGAACGGCCCGCGCTGGGCTCCCCATCGGAGTCGGCACTCCGCTGGCGCTTCATGGCGGAGACGACCACGGGCGCGGTGCTCCGGTGCAGTTTTGGGTGCCCAAGCGGAGCCGCGGAGCGAGGTCAAAGGTGGCAAAACCACGGCTTTTGGTCTGAACTAGAGGGGGCCCTGACATGTCTTATTTGGTATGATGGATTCACACCATGACATCAGTTGCTGCCTCATGTTGCATGTCAAAGCGGGCCCATTTGATCATCCTCCCGTCATCTCTCATTTCATTTGCATAGCAGGGTCTTTCTCAGGAGCGGGATTTTGTCTTCAAGAGTGTATGGATGACTCCATTAACCATCATAAAACCCGTATTGAATCCCATCTAGAAGCCTTGTCACCTCTTAGTAAGTTTCGGGCCAAGCCGCAAATAGACTTGCTCGAAAAGCCTCTCATCCGCAGGTGTCTCCACATAGCTCTTTCCCTCCGCCTTCCGCATCACCTGGGCTTCCAAGCTTGTGGCAGAATCACCCGAGAGAGACTTTAACCCAACTGCGTGGGCATAAGAAGTGCAGCACAAAGCACCCCCCAACAGTAAACAGGGGAACTCGCCTCCAAGAATTAGCTCTGAGCTTCATGAAAGGGACATCCATCCTCTGAAACAACACTAGCAATACCATCAGTCAGTGAAGCCCTGATGGAAAGGCCAGTTGACCATATATACAAAATTATACAAAGGCTGGACATCCTCCATGCCCACCTCATGACAATACCCAATACATCCAATACCATCAGTGGCCTTCAATTCACTTTTACCCAACCCAAACACTCCACCTGACTGACCATCCAACCACTGCCCACTGCCCACCGCATTGGATCGACCACGTCACTCGCCCGGCCACGGCCAAACCCAAATGCGCGCCCACGGCCAAGCCGGCAGCGGCCAGACCCCAGGTGGGCGTGGAGTCAGTGGTCTTCCTTGAAATGGACAAGTCTTTAGGACCAATCACCTAGACCAGTGGTGTGGTTTGGCACTGGCAAATCATGGGAGGGGTCCATCTTTGCCATCATCTTGTCATCTCCCACCCGGGAAGGTTCAAGGTGCTTAGGATCAATTCCATCAGGAGAATGAAGAATTTGGAGGAGAGCCAGATTCGGCTGGAAGACCATTCACCAGCTAGCACGGCAAATGAGAAAGCCAAGATTCTTACCCAGTTACATGTTTTCCTCCGCTGCCAATCAACGGTGGATCTGTTCATGCACTTCATGAACTTCTCAAAGGAAAGTTCTGCAGAGCAATTTTTGGACCAAGTTCTGCTAATTAAGGGCATTCAAGCCAAGGTTTGGAGAAATTGCTTGCACACCTCAACCCAACCCACCCACTTCAACCCAAACGGCTGGGCCTCTACATGGATGACCACTTTCCAGGCACGAGTGGCACTGGACTCCCAAAGGTGGTGGGATCGGCAGGGTTCCAAGCGAGGAGGGTCAGTCCTGCAAGTCCTGCCTGCAGGAACCTACGGGAAAAGGTCATTGTATGGTCAATGTGCGGTCTTTGGAATAATTTGCCGCACCCCGCCGCCCCAGTTGTTGCGGATCCTCGTGTGAACACTTGCAACGCCTCCGGCGTGCTGTGCGACCTCCCCCAAATGCAGAAAGCAGGAGAAACATACACTCTCTGGAATATTCATGGAACTGGACAATGATGGAACATGGATGAAAATCGTTCCAAGAGGATGACCATTTTCCGCCATCCACGTAACGATGATCATTCCAGCTAGCGTATGTTTCTCCAAGAACCTCTGCTCATCTGCTCATCCAGATCTCCCCGCATTGGTCGCGGAGGGGGTCATCCTCATGGCGTTCGGTGCCCGCTGCACCTGTCCCGGCATCAGGAAGGTGCTGCCCAAGACGGCGCAGCCGAGGAGAGCCGTGGAGAGGCGAGTCATGTTGATCTGGAGCATCTGAGCTGATCTGGGACCTAAAAAAGTCTTGAGACCTTGGGAAAGTGGCTCCTGGCAAGCACAAGCCTGGTCAAGCCTTGGACTCAGATTCATGCATCATGCATCATCATACATCAAAGTCCTAGAAGAGAGAAGTCTTGGAGGGGGGAGGGGAGGATGTATAGGAACTTGTCTTCCGATTCCATCAGCACAGCAGAGTTCTGGACTCAGGGTGATTGACATCCACTGAAGACCCTAAGGTCAATGGGAGCAGTACCCACAGTCAATCACCTGTCACCTCTGTCCCTCTGTCCGCCGGATTCTTGGAGGAGCTTGTATTTCTTGGCAAAAACATGTGGTGCACGCACCCTGTTGTTCCGAACTCAGAAGCTTTCTGAAAGCATTGTTCTCCTTGTGGCTGGATCCTGGAAATCGGAAAGCTCGATGTGTTGCCGTAGAAAAAAATACTATGCTGGAATCAGCCCCTCGAGTCCCTCAAACAAGCTGTCGCATGCTATAGTATTAGTGATTCAAAATATAGTGATTTCATGTGATTTCTTCAACTTGCCACACAAACATCTCAGTGGACACCGCCAATCAGGTTTCTGCCACAAAAGCCGCACCCAAGTTGAACCCTTTTCTCACGTTCTGCGGCGCCGAGAGCCCTAAGGGTCAAGACGTCCGAGTTGTGCAACGATTTTTCTGGAGAGTTTCGAGCCAGGAGTTCAAGACTGAGAGTGCTGTTGATTCTTTATCCACATGGATCAATGGGTCAGCCGGGTCTCTCTCTCTCTCTCTCTCTCTGGGGAGGACTTCTTGAGCACCGAGTTGTTACACGATCAAGATCTTCGTCTCTTCAAAAAGACAGATTACACCTCACCCGACTTTCAGTCCGATCTTCTAAACCCCCTGACCATGCGGGGTTGCTGCACATTCCGTAGTTGCTACACCTTACGGACACCTTAGCTGCACATCAGCTCAAGTCATCATGTTGAACCGATTCTGCGCCGAGAAAAGAACTCGTGCACTGGACCGCGGTCCGTTTCCTGGGCGAGGACCGAACTCCCCGGTCACCCCCCCAGCCCAACTACTCAAACAAACCCTAACTGTTATCATATGGCGCAGCGCTGCTTCGAACCGATCCCAACATCTTGTCATAGTTCTTCTAACCAGCTATCGCGTCAGTAACCGTAGGATCACCCCAAACCTGTCTACTACCCTGTCTACTGTACACAGTACACACGCACTATACACGTCCCTGTTTCAGGTTCACCAAACGTGTCCTGGCATCGAAACTCCCGAGGCCTGGTCGGGGGACGCGTTTGAAACACGGAGGGAGCGTCCGAAAACCCCGGCCAGTGCGCCGCTCGACCAACGCCCGTCGGTCGGGTGCCAGCCCGTCCCGGTCAACGAAACATGTCCAGTCCTTTTGCGGCGTTCGGTGTTTTGGATCGTCCAAAGATGTGCCAAGAGTCTGCAACACCATGGGTCGAAATCAATATTGCGGCATACAACCAGTTTTTTTGTGTCAACTTCAATAAAAGGGTGTGCGAAGCTGCAACTGGCGCAGAGCACGGCCCCTTTTCCGCTTCGGGAGATGCTGCTCGGTTTCTACATGCAATGTGAAACAAGTGTAGGTACTGCTCTTCTGGTTTCTGCTGTATGCTTGTGGTTGCTTCTGTCTGTCATGACGGGCCGATCGAACGCTTGGCCAACATCTGGGGCCGCCGGTGCTTGGGCCAGTCTTGCCTGGCATTGCGGGACAGCTCACGGTCAACTGCATTCTCATCGAACTTCATGGTAACTCTCACACTGGTTATTCTTTTGTTTGACCGGAGCTGGAATGGTCGTCGTCATCTGCTTGGATCTCTGCGGCCAACTGACTTCTGCGCTGGTGGTCTGCAGGTTTGGCTGCTTTCTCAGCATGTCTCTGAACATTTCTGTTTTGCCTCTGTCTTCTCTTGGTCTCTTTGAGGATCTTATTCTCCTCGGTTTGTACCAATGACATTTGGCCACTTCGAAGAAACTCTTTCAAGGTCTCCTTCTCAGCGTTGGCTTTTGTCAAAACATTGGCAATGTTCTGCATACCATCGATCCAACGAACTAAGGCATTCGGTTGCCTAACCGTCTCCCGCAAAAGGGCGCCCTCAATGGCCATGCGCTTGTCTGTTGAAGTGCTTGTAGCATCTTTCTGCAAGTAATCATAAACAGATCTCGCGTCGGTGACATATACAGGAACCCTACGCTGGATAATGCTAGGCCAGTCCTTCAAGTTCAAATCACCTGTCAATGCTTCCTCCAACAAACATGCACACCAATCACCGCACTCAACGGCTTCTGCAAGATGCGACGCCTCTGCTGCTAGGGTCGAACGACAAACACGCTTGGTCTGACCGCTGTAAAAGGTCAAAACATTTGCACGAGCTGCTTTGTCTTCCAAGATCTCTTTGTTTGCTATCAAGATAAAATAGCCACCGACCGATCGGTAACGCATAATTTCATCCTTCTCCGGAGTGCCGTTGGCATGACCGGAATCTGCAAGCAAGATCAAAACTCCATCCCTAAGGTTCACATCCGACCAGTAACGGAGTCGGAAGTCAGCTCCCCTCTTGGCTTGGGCCAAGTACTGCTTCAAGCGCACAAGGTCGCCCACGCAAGCGTCGCCTTTGGCTCTCTGCGCAACACCGTTTTCATAAACAAGGTCGCACCTGAGTTGGCGCGTCAGCCATCCAAGTTCACCTGCTCCAGATTGAACTGTTTGAAACTCCTCTTCTGTCAAACTGCTTTCAAGCTGTGTCCTACGAACCTTGCTAATGTGAATGCTCTTGGTGCTCAATGCATAATTGCGCATGCAAACATCAATGTGCCCGTCTGTATGTTGCTTGATTTCACATCCTCTGAACACAAATTCTCTGTAATGATTTGTTGCAAACTCTAGTGCTTTGCTGCTTTGTTGAAACGCCTTATCAGCAAAATCAGGATGAACTCCACCTTCAATGTCATCCACATGGGTCACTAAAATGCCCTTCAAATGCTGTTGTGGCCCGTGTCTCAAGAAAAACAAAGCCGGTTCAAGTCTGCTCTGCACCCAACCATCACTCTCAAGATGTCCTTTGAGTGCTACCCAGAAAAGACGTGCTTCCTCGCTAAAACCATAAATTGCTTTCTTCGCACGCAACAACTGTCCAGGAACGAGATTGCCAAGGCCTCCGCGAGGCTGCTCCAAGTAAATCTCACGTTCAAGTGAACGCCCGCTGAAGTATGCATTCTTCACGTCTTTGCAAATCATTGTAAAGCCCATATAGGCCGATACTGCAAGACAAATGCTTTCTGCAAGCGAACTAGCTGTCGGTGCATCACGCCTGTAGTAGCCCAAGGATCGGTCCTTGAAACCTTGTACCACAAGCCGACTCTTTGCAAGAAATGGTTGTCCGGGCATGCCTTCCGATTTTGTCCTGACCCATCTGGTCGGAACGATAAGCTCCGGACTTCGTTCTCGTACTTTCTTGCTCTCTTCCAAACTCAAAATATCAACTGCCTCTTTTTAACGATGGTGCCAATGGTTCTTCCGCAACGGGCGGTGCCTCCAAATGATCCCCTGGGTCAGTCGGTTCATAGAGCTCCTCATCAGCCTGTGGCATTGGCTGGTCCAAAAGTGGTCTAGGCAAATCTTCCAACTCCCCGGCTTCTGGTTCACAGCCTTCTCGAGATGGCTTGGGTTGCTGCCGTAGATCAACAAAGGTGTTGCCGCCCGCGGCTGGTTGTGTATCAAGAAGCTCAACCTCTGAACCAACAACACTCCAGTTCTGCACTTCATGGTCGTCTGCAAAGGCTAAATGCTCTGGGGAGACTGCAAGAATAATGCCGCGATGCGCTATCCAAACAGTGTGTGTGCCCTCCTTTCCAATGACTCTTGCAACACCCCTCCAACACGCTGGTCCAGGTACGGTGTCCGAGGCATCGAAATAAAAGACATACTTCCCAACATCGAAAGGTCCTCGGCTAGGTTTGACCTTCCGAAGTTCTGCACGTTTCAGGGCTTCTGAATTGCTGACTTGCATGAATGCCTCTCTTGCTGCAAACCTAAGTTTGGTCTTGAGGTAGAACTGGTTTGAGGGGTTCATGGACAAGGACAATGCTCCAAGGCGGACAGCTTCGGAATCCTCTGTCAGATCTGTGGGTAACCGAATGGACTTCCCGAGTACCCACTGTGATGGACTAAAGCCTGACTTCCGAACCAAGTTGTTCTTTGCGCTGTTAACAGCGCTTGTTGCATGAAACATTTGGTCCCGACCTGCAAGCTGTTCACACCACACTATCCTCTTGAGGATTGACTTCCAAATATGGCCATGTCTCTCGACCTGTCCAAGCTGCCACGGTGAGGCCCGTGCCGCACAGTCAAAATCACACCCTGCTGCTTCCATCGCTTGCGCAAACTCTGAAATGAAATACTTTGCTCTGTCACTGAAAACACCGTATTCGGGGTAACCTGCCCAACTTGTCCAACCTATCTCAAAAGCACGCAAAACCGCCTCTGAAGTGGGATTGAAACTGGTGTCGTCCAAAAGAACGCAAATCTGAAAGGTTGTACCCTGACACAGAATGTTCAACCAAGACCATGTGTGTCCATCTGCGTCTCTGGCCTGCAAAATGCCAATGCCCACATGAGTGTTAAACTCCTCCGAAAGCGGAAGCTTGCTAGGTCTAGGTTTCTTTGGCAACTGAACCCTGGGACAATCAACACATCGAAACAACCGACATGCTCGGATTGCCACTTCCGAAGCCCTGCTCACACGAAGTGCCTTCAGCATTGCCGGAACTGGTGCGTGTCCAAGATTAACATGAACTCGTCTGATGGCCAGCTTCAACTCACGAGGAAGCGACTGCCATCTCTGCTCGCGCAATCTCTCTCTCTCTCTCACCAGCCCGTGGATCTGACTGTGGCTCCACGTGGGGGTCTTCTCCAAGGGGTTTGCCAAAACAAATGACACAAAGTTGCCGCTGTTGTGCCACTAAAGGTCGGGTTTGTGAGGTTGGTGCAAGCTGCGCCCAGTCTTCCCAAGCTGTGCTCAAACAAACACGGTTCTTTAACAACAAGTTTGCTTTGCGAAGTGGTGCTTCTGCCGGTGAAAGAAAAGGCTGCGGCTTCCTCAACCTCCTGGCGTTTGAAGACACCAAAACAAGTTGTAGTTCTGCGTTTGCTGATTCATGCACTAACCAATCATGCCCAAGGTCCTCCCCAAGGGGAAGAATCTGCCAATCTGAACCTCCATGGTCTGTCAACCAATCTCTAGTCCTTTCCAGTAAACTCTGAAAATCAACTGAGGAAACTTGGTGCCAAAAACCACGTTGAAGCTGCCGAGTCCTAGGGCGTTTCCGTCTCAAGGCTCCTCCACCGCCTGGTGTCTCCGGCGCCGGAGTCATGGGCGCCGCATCCGCGGCCGGTGTAAAAGGTGCCGGGGTCTCTGGCACAGCTTCTGGCATGACCTCGTCTTCGGCCATTGGCAACAGCTTAATCTCAGTCGTTCCAAGCCAGGAAAGTTGACCACGCCTGAATGGGTCTTCAGGACTGGTCCATTCATCAACATGCTCCTTCTCAGTGCCGTCCTCGAACTGCATCTTGGACGTGCGGGAAGGTAAAAGCCGATGAAAATCACATGGAAGCTCCTCAACACTCATGGGCGAGAAAAGTGCCTTTCTAGGAAAAACATGGTGCCTGATCATGGATTCTGGTTGAAGCTCCCAATAGTCCATAGTGGATTCATCACCGATCACTTGGATCTCCGGTTCTTCGGGCTCATCAACCTCCATCGCTGGATAACTCAACTCTTCGGGTGTCCGTGCTGCATAGTCCATAATCATTGATTTCAAAACTGCTTCACAAATTGCTGCACAAACACCAAGGGGGTATGCGGCTGCTTGAAGGGAACGTTTGCCAAACTTGTTTGAACCAACAACCGTCTGGTGTGCTCCAAAACTGCACTTGCAACGACGACCCAATGCGTTCAAGATGGGCTCATTGTTTGAAAGCCATCCTGTTGGTTTCATGATGGGCCGCCCGCTCTCCCGGTCCACTTTGCCGTATCGGCACTGATCGCCAACAACAAATTTGCCTCCAAACTCTTCTGTCAACAACTGAGCCAAAATCGACTCATAGGGCCATGCCTGACTTCCTGCTGGGTTCTCAATCAGATAATATCGAAATTGCTTGTGCTGATGCTTGCAAATCGAAACAACCAATTTGAGTGTCTGTTTACCCACTGTACTGCGCAGGAATTCAAGAAAACTTGAGTGCCCTGTTGCTGAGCAAAGATTGTTTAGCAAACTCCAAATCCGACAGTCGAAAGCGATGATGACCAGGTAAGGCCTATGCTCACGCAGTGTCCTCCAAAGAAGTCGTTGGCCTTTGGAAGAAAGGAGATCAAAACCATCTAAGGCATCCAGCGGTTGGGAATTGGTCCAACCGAAATGTTCAGCCCCATACCTTGTCACTCCAAAACTGCTGCCCCACGGTTCGAAGAGTACGGTAGTCTGAAATTGATTTGTTGCTGCTTGCTCTGCAAAACTGTAGCTTCTCTTCAAAGCTATCCAAGTTCGTTTGTCTTGGATCTGGATTTGGCGGTGTGCCAACTCAAGCTCTTTCCTCCTTCTCTCATGCAGTTCACCTCGCGGATCTTTCGCTCGCACTCCACGTGGTCCAAGCACCAAAGCGACTTCCTCCTTGGCATGTGCATCAAGGTCCTGTGCTGAAGTTCGTAAGACCGGTAAGGCCTCACAGATCTGGTAAGCCGCTTCTTCTGTCAGGTAAATGAACAGATCTTCATTGGGGGAAACAAGAGCTGGTCCTTGTCCTGAAGTCAACTGTGGCACTGTCGACAATGATAGTCCTTGAGAACTAGTCAGGTCGATGGCACGGTGCTTGGTGCGAGTCATCAAGATCTCAACATCAACACCCAATGCTCCTATATGAGCTCTGCGCTGCTTCAGAAAAAGGTCCATCTCCAGTGTGTCCATAGAGGTCACTGAAAGGAGTAGTGGTGTAGAGCCTGTTTCAACTTCTGCCGACATCACCTCGCCTCTTCGTCCTCCAAGCAAAATAGGAATCTTCCACACCTTAGCTGGAGCACTGGAGCCATCTGCGAAGTGGAACGTCTTGACATTCGAAGTCTCTTCACAAGTGACTCCTGGCGGAAGATGGCGCGAGTATGCAACTCGCCATCGCCGGCTGTGCATGCAAGAGGTGCATGCCGTGTCAAGCAAGCAAACTCTAGATTCGTCTAGCTCTCCAGGAACTGCATCCATCTGGTGAAACTCTGTGCTCGCAACATCTTCCAAAGCTGAATTCTCATCAAGGGCCGTCGCATTGGGCTCAGTGCTTTCTAAATTCGGTTCATGCAACTCAGGGCCGTTTGCATAGGCAAAATGCCTCGGCCCGCTCTCTTGGCTTCTAGCCGCGCTGTCGGAGGCGCAAAGCCTCCCGGGACATGTCGATGCCGTGGTGGTAGTTGATGGTGTGTCGGCATCCAGTCCTTGCAAAGCGCGAGCAACCAAAGAACTTCGAACCGTCTCGGCGGTTCTCTCGTAGCAACATGTCTCCACCGCAAGCTGAGCAAGGAACATCATGGAGAATCTGGCCAATCTCCCTTGGCATAAAGCCCACAGGTTCGCTCTTCGATGGGGAAGGTGATGCCATCGATGTAGATGCGGCAGGAGATCGAATAAGTCCTCGCTGCTCCATGTCCTGAACGACTGGGTCTGACTTGTCCCTCCGAAAGGAACGACGATCTGGGCTCTCATACACTGCCGACGAAGATGCATCATATCCTCCACCTGAACCAACTCCTCGCTCTCTGGATCCTGAAGGCAACGGTGGTGGTGCTGCATGCGAGGCTACCTCCAAAGTTTTGACCTTTGGCGAGGGGGACTCATAGATCAAGGTCTTCATCCCTGGCACTTCCTCCTCCGACAACATGACGAACTGCTTGCTGCAGCCCTTGCGAGCCACGGGATGTCCTTGAAACAAGGTAGTCAAACGCTGAATCAACTCCTTCTTGGTGCCCGACACACGAATGCCCCAACGCTCACATTCATCTTGAAGCTTCCTCACCGTCATCTCCTCCAAGTCTGGCTTCAAGGTCGCCAGGTTGAGCACTGGAACAATGCTCACATCCGACTTCTCGACACGAACTGGACTCTGAAGCTGCCGCCGGATCACGGTGTCACGGGAAAGAGGATCTCCGGACTTCGGTGAGGTAGTCGGTGAATGCGGCATGCGGTCACCAACCAAGGCCCATGGAGCGTCGTTCTCACCATCGTAGGTGTACACACTTGCTGCCTCCTCAGGCTGTCGAACCTTTCGACGATCATCTGTCTCCGTGTAGCCTGAGTCTTGCTCCATGTGATGCTCATGCTCTGAGGTCATGTAGGCGGTCACGTCATTGCCCACATCGAAGTCGTCATCGTCCAAGGTGAAGAACAGGGGTCCATCTGAAACCAATTAAGCCTTGCCGCCGTCCTTCTTCTTGCCCTTCGACTTGCCTTTGCCACGATGCGGACCTGAGGTCTTGCTGGACTTTTGGCATTGAGTGTCACCTGCCCAGTGCCCAATCTTTCCACATGCCGAACATCTTGTCCGTTCCTTCTCTTTCTGAACTGCTGCTCGTCGTTGTTCAAAGGTGAGCTCACCCTTGAAGAAGCCACGTTGTTTCTGAACTTCACGAAGCTTTCGACGAGACTCCTGGTATGAACGGCGCTGCTTGTCCATGGCACTGAAGGCTTGGTACACCTCCTCATCCTGCGAGGCTCCAACGTCCGAACCTTCCTCCTCCATCTCATTGGCCTCATAGCCGTAGTCCTGGTACTCTTCATCCTCACGGACCATGTAGGACTCATACTCAGTCATGAGGTCATTCTCAAAATCGTGCTCATACTCAAAGGCCTGGTCATTCGATGAAGCTGCTTCATACACAAGGGCCTCCTTGTTCGGTGTGCCTCCATCATCGACCAGGTGAGCATAGTAGCGCTCCTGAGTCTTTCCATAGCCCTTGCCGCGCCTGTCGTCATGGAACTTGCCGATCTTCTCCTTCTCATGAATGTCATAGTACGACACACGCATGGCCTTCTCGATGGACTCGAGGTTGTAATCGGAACCACTGTTGAGCAGGATCTGTCGCCTGTCATCTTTGCTCAATCCACACTGCTTCAAAACAAAATAAGCCAGCAAATCTGAGGACATCTTGGTCTCACTATCAAGCTCCTGCAACTCGGCCCAGTCCAACTTCCGTGAACGAAGGTTTGCATCTAAGGCCTGTCCTCTCTTCCTGAATCCCCGCTCAAAGAAGCGGTCGAACTGCTCGGTCTTCTTGATCACGGTCACTTTCTCAATCGACTGCAGGGCTGACAAAACATGCTGAAAACCACGCTCCTCCGATAGCTTGGCCATATCTGTGATGAGGTCCTGACAAGCACGCCAAGCTTCTCCATGAAGACCGTTCAGCAATTTCTTGGCGAAAGCCTTTTGCCTCTTTTTCAAGTCCCTCTTCTCTTTCTCTTCTGTGTCTCCATCGCCCTCTAAGGAGCTGTAGGCAAAGAGGACTCTCTTCCTGTATTCTCGCATGAGCTCAGGCCTATTGCCGGTATAGTGCGGAATGCCTTCACGATCGACGACTATTTCGTCGTCCTTCCAGAAAACGGAGCCGCCGGATCCATTGCCATTTGCCATGGCGCGGGAACCGGCTCCGCTACCAGTGCGAAGCTGCAACTGGCGCAGAGCACGGCCCCTTTTCCGCTTCGGGAGATGCTGCTTGGTTTCTACATGCAATGTGAAACAAGTGTAGGTACTGCTCTTCTGGCATTGCGGGACAGCTCACGGTCAACTGCATTCTCATCGAACTTCATGGTAACTCTCACAGGGTGCTATTTATCTTCCAAGGCCTTCACAGAGGTAACATGCTTAGCCGCAAGGTTTGTCAATGATCAAAGTCACATAGTGAGACTTACAGGTGAGTTACATGTACGTTCATCAAGTTCGCCCAATCTGATCCCTGCTTTGAGAACACGAGGGCAAATTTGGAGGTACTGAGTTGGTATCCCAAAAGCGACGGGCCAAGCACTGGGCGGTGCTTCCGGAAAACCATCTTGGGCAGGTCTCAAGATATGCAGGTCAAATCCGCAACAAACCAGCGGGATCAAACATGATCAAACCATCTGTATCATCGGCAACCGCGATCACCCGAGTTGGTGTTGTGCTTTTGTGTGGGTTTTGTTGTTCCGTTGTCCGGGAAGACATCAATCTCATGAAAAAAAAACAAGGACCTTAAGATCCCTCCGCTACCCATCCACTCAAGACCGGACATGGACATGCTCATTTGCCGGGACTTCGTTGGCAACATGTTCTACACTCCCTGGCCAGCGCTGCCAGGCCGGGTACGTCTGAAACACTTTCTGACCTGCGACTCTTGTTCCTTGGGAGGATGCTCTAACCGGGTGCCATGACCCACAGTCAAGTCTGAGAGGTGGATGGGGGGATGGGGGAGGGGTACTGAACGACCAAAGGAAGGGATTGGTCGGATTTGCTGAAGGAACCGGAGAACCAAGAGAGGTTCTTCACAGCCCTAAGGTCGCCCATCCCATATGTACCACTACAGACCAGGGTCCTAGTCCTGGTCTCTCAACCTCTCAACCGGAAGGTTTTCGTCGGGCCATGGCCTGGGCATTCATACTCACCAGGATCCACATGTGGCCAGGTCACCCGATTCGCCAGGTCGCTTAGCGGGGTACGTAGTTCAAATGCTGACACGCCCGTCCGTTGAAGCAACCTGTTGACAATTGAAGCATTATACGACTATACATCAATGAGTGGAGCAGGAGGTTCAACAACCAATGTCGAACGGAAAAATCAACAAGGTCAACAACCACTCGCGTATACCACATCTTACCACCATAAATGGATCAACACCATCTACAGATCTATATAATTCTCCCTCTATTCTGTCTCATCTCTCTCTCTCTCTATATACATGCCCATCTGGTAACCACTCGATGTCGGTTTTACCGGGTCAAGCCTCGTGGGAGGCAAACACTCAACACATGAAAGCACATGAAAGGACCTTTGAAGTGCTCTACAGTCACCATGCTCTACAAGGAGGTACTAACACGTCCAATATACACTTGCCGCTTCTAGACTTCTAGATGTTCAGTCTTGCTGGCAAAGCCCCCCCTCAAGTCTTAGGCCGCTGTGACCTGCTACAACCTTCCTTCTCACTTGGTTCTTGCCGCAGTCTCACACCTGAAGCTCCTCCCTGCGGTCATCAAATCATGTGGTCTCAAATCAGAAGTCGGTCAGCACCCTGAGTTCCAGTGACGGCCTGGTAGTGCAAACGGGCCGAAAACAAAGAACGCCTTTTTGACACGGATAGACACTGATGCTTGTGGGGAATGAAGGGGGGCCTCCTATGACTGATCCTCGAAGGACATCTTCCAAGACCAAGGTGAAATACTTTCCTGCAAAGAATCAGCAACCTAGGAAGAGTCTGCAGTTGTTGACGGCTTTGCTCTAGAAGCTGGACTTTTGGAGTGCATTCACTGCTTGTTGATGCTTTTTGCATCTATTCCTAAATATCTGTGGCTGAGTTTGAAAGGTGTTTTGCCCAGCCACTCCCCATGGGGAAGCTGCAAGAACCTCGACAGACTCACTTGTGCCAACTTGGAATGGGAAAAGTGAAGGATAAATACCAGAGCCAATGCCCTTTTATTTGAGGGTGGGTGTGCTGGGGAGAGCACACACTAGCTCAAAACCCTTAGAAAACACTGTAAATACCGTGCAAATTTTCAAAAACTGCTCTGAGAACTAGGCGAAACGCAATTTTTTTGATCTGTCTGTGCCCAGTCTCCATGTCCAATGTCAATGACAACAAATAACAGCTCTTCGTCTGCCCACTATCAATGTGCAACACCAATGATAAATATTATCAGGTAAATCTCTCTCTGCCCACAATGAATGTAGCATCATGAGCGAATGAAGATATAATACTATACATCTCTAGATTCAATAGCTTTCCTCTGGATCTCTGGGAAAGTAGATTTCCTAGATTTGTGTATGTTCATTGAAGGAAAGCATTTGAAAGAAACACTTACATACATACTTATAGCTTTTTAAATACCATGACTATGTCCAGAGATCCAGAGGAAAGCTTTTGAAATGAAAGCTTTATATTTTTTCACAGAAGTGATCAGATCTAGAGGGAACCTTTTGAATTAGACATAAAGCAGTTTAATATAGCAATGATTATTCCAACCGTTTTTTGGTATTCCCTCTAAATTGGGATAGGCTTGGATCTCACAAAATTGATCAACAAATAGCTCAAAACCTCAATTTTGGAGAGGATTTTGCAAGAAATCACTGTAAAACACAGTGTTTTTGCATCATTTTTTGCATGAAAAACATCTCCCAGGAGCAACCGTTCTGTTTTATTTTGGGTCCCTTCCATAAACGCTCATTCTGTTCATGTTTAGGCCTGCCTAGCTGAAGGATCCTTTCTGGCGTGGGCAAACTACAAGTCAAACTTTTTGCTCACCTGGACAACAAAAAGTAGCACTAGCACACAGAAACAAACCGAAACAACAACAAACCGACCAAGAACCGAAGAACAACAAACCAAAGAACACCAGAAACAAAACAAACCGAAGAACAGTGACCATTTTTCGGGTGAATTCGTGACCCCGCACCCGAACCTGATGAGCACCCGCGCTCGACAGGAACTGAAGATGGTCCGAGAAGCACTGACGGTCTTCCGCGCAGATTTGAGAGGCTCATTCATCTTCTCCTTGATCTCCCGAAACTGGTCTTGACCTTGGGACCAGGGAGGCAGGGAAGAATGGTTGCGGCGTCGAAGGCTTCTGAAAAGAATGGTTGCGGGTTTGTTTGGACTGAACCTGTTGCGTGTTCCTTCCTGTCCCTACGGTTCCAACTCTTCATAAACTGTTCAAAAGCAACGTTTCAACTGTTCAAACTTCGACTGTGGAGCGGTCCATCCTTGCCGAGCTCGATTTGTCCAACTGCAGAAGCAATATGTCAATGGCGAGCCGCTGCTGTCGGGCACTCTGGCCAGCTACCAGGTCCAGTCAAACCCAGTCAAAAATCTAGTCTTGAAAACCTCGTGGAGTAGTGAGTAGTGTTCTGACATGATCATGACCTGTAGGTTTTGGACATAGATGAGGTATGATGAGTTTGACACGCTCCACAAATGACTTGGACATGTACCCATCAGTCGTTCTCAATAGGTTTTTGGAAAGGTCCAATTTCATCCTCTGGTTTGGTCACAGCTCCTATCCAGCTTGATAGTTACAAAATTCCACACTCACTGGGCAAGTGCTGGCAAAATCTCTCTCTCTCTCTCTCTCACCCCCAACAAAAACGACCCCCCAAACACTGGAAGAGTCCCCTGCACCGGCACTCCGATGTTCTTCTTTACTTTAAACCACCGTGTTGGTCTCGCCCATCGCTCGTGACCGTCTTCTCCGCAACGGTGACGACCGGGAGGGTGCCAAGAGGCAGTTGTCGTTCAAGTGTTTCAACACTTTGAAGAGCTTGGTCCTCGGACGGACGGGCTTAAGCCTTAAGCTGATGGGTGAAAGAAGGAGCGAGTTCGGGATTTTTCGGTGATGTCCGGACGCCCGGGGATGGTTCGGACTGAAACGGACGCCCGGGATTTTTATCGTATTGTGTGTGTCTTGTTGTTTTTTCTCGATGGGTTTACCTGGCATGCAGGCATTCCTGGTTTTCTCCCCTTTTCTTGTGTTGTGAAGGGTCACATATGAAGGTGGATCGCAGCATTGGAACCACCCAAAAGCCATGGGCTCACCCCATCACAATCTAAGTATAACTGGTACGGAGAACAGTCATCGCATATCATCGCAGCCGTGCTGTTCATCAACGGTGCTCCTGCATGCTCCTGCCATCACATGCGATCATCATGAAACCCTAATATACCCAGCACCCCACTACTCTAAACCCATCTAAACCCCCGATATGCCCTATATGAAGTCTTTTCCGCGCTCTCCTTTCGGACCCGCCCCAGACTACAACTCCACTGGTGACTCCACCCACCTGCGGGTCTCCAAGGTGCACTTCGTGTCTCAAGCGCGCGAGGTCGATGGCGCCGGCGGTGCCATGGAGCTTCATCAAGGCGTCGGTGAACCTGGAGAGAGCAGGGGCGGCTCCCTGGGCGAGAAGGCCGCCGGTGGCCCCGGTGTCCCCTGGTGGCCTTGGAGAAGAAAGAGTCGGAGAGTGTGAAACGTTGGCTTCTTGGCTTCAGCTGGGCTACAAAGGCAGTTACTGTGCTTACAAATACTTCCAGTGCACATAAGTTTGTGTGGGTGAGGAACAAAACACACCCAAACATCAACGAAACGAAACGACTTGAAATTGGCAGCCAAGAACTTGCACTGCCTCAAACAACGTTGAGAGCCTGCTTTCAAACAACAGCACACTTGCAGGAGAAACACCATCTCAAGACCCTTCCTGCTACAACATTCCCATATCGGAGTCACCAGTGCACTACGCTGACGACAGTACGTTTTGATCTCTTCTGATCTCCCTTGGACAGCTTGGAACCTGATGAATACATTCAAGACACGAAGTATCACCAGGTGCCACCATTTCCCATCCCCAGCCCGGGAAATGTGCCCAAGTGGCTCGTTGATGTCGATCTGCTCACTGTT